GCTCCTCTTGGCTATGGCTTGGCCTTCTCCATTCTCCAGTCATCCCATTCTCTCCCCTGGAGTCTTGGAGTGCTTGTTGCTGGTGGCAACAGGTATAAAGTTTACAGTTAGCAGGGCCAGCCCTGTGGCATAGCACATTAGGTCACTGTCTGCAACAACCACAACAGCATCCCATATGGGCACTGAGTTCGAGTCCTAGATGCTCTACTTCCGATCCAGCTCTCTGCTGACAGCCTGGGAAAGCAACAGAAGATGGCCCAAGTGCTTGGGGCCCTGCACCCACATGGAATATCCAGAAGAAGCTCTGGGCTCCTCACTCCTGGCTTTGTCCTGGCACAGCTCTGGCCACGCAGATATTTGAACCAGTAAATAAAAGATCTGTGTGTGTGTGTGTGTGTGTGTGTGTCCATCTCTCTCTCTCTTGTAACTCTGCCTTTCAAACAAGTAAATTTTAAAAACTACATCTTTAAAAAAATAGTTAATGGTTAGCATGGGAATTTCCAATAAAGCCCTAGGCAGGTCCCCTTCATCTTTGTTCAAGGGCTTCTCAGCGCAGTTTAGTCCAATGGTTTCTCTTTTCACAGCCACTATTCCTTCCAGTGGACTTCATTTTCTTCCACTACCCTCTCAGGTCCTGCTTCTCAAAGTGTGGCCCTCAGGCAAATGGCATTACCACTCAGAGTGCTCTTTGAACCACTGACTCTCAGTCCCCACCAAAACCCCTGGCGCCAGAATCTCAACCGGATTCCTAGGTGACTAGTACCCATATAAAAGGTTGAGAAACACTGGCTTTCTGTCATTCAAAGTGTTATCATCCCTTTTCTTACATATGTTCAAATATTATCATTAAGAAAGGAAATCAAAGTAAAAAGTTCTGTCTTTGTATGCCACCCCCAATGCACTTGAATATTCAGTAGACATGCTGGTGCTTCTCTCTCTCTGGTTCTTAGCCCTAACTGTACAATTAGAATCACCTAGGGAGCATTTCAAGAATAAGACTATCCCAGATCCCAGACAATTAAATTATGTCAACTAGGGTCTAAAGACTGAAGAAAAAATCCCTTACATTTCAAAGAAGAAATCTAAGCACCATGAACTTCCAAGTGTTCTTGTCACAAGAACTGGTGCGGCATGTGTGTTGCACATAGGGGATCTAGAAGGGAGTAGAACTACTGAGGGTATAGGCAGGTACAGGTAGTGCAGTGTGCAAGTCACAGCTGGGGTTAGGAGGAGCAGCTGGATATGGAGGAATGTGAGAGAGGCAGCCCACAGGGAGCCAATCTCAGGGAAGACACACACAAGTCAAAGTGCCTAAGGCAGGGACTATCTGTGTGCAGAATTCCCCAAAACGTTTGTGTTCAAATGCCTACCTTACATTTTTGTGCAAACATAAGGGACAAAGATTTTCCTTTGCGATACAGACTGTGGGATCTGACAGTGAGAACACTGGTAATATGCATACCCGCTTGTTTCCTTCAAGGCCTTAAACTTCTTGGAATGTAATGAAGAAAGATAGCTGACCCCAGTGGCACTGACATGTGTCTTAATTTGAGGGTGGGAACATGCCCAGAGCTGTCTAGGAACAGGAACACTTTTGAGTGAATGAACACTCATGAATTTTTTTTAGTAAGTGCCTTAGGATGATCATATTCTCCCAGGAATGCGCTTACGGAATTCCCTCTACTTAGCTTCCCCAGACTATCCTTAACTGACTCCTACACTACGTTTTCCAACAGCCAGCATCTCCTTTATGCTGGGAGTTCTTAAATGTTAACAATGATGTTGTATCTGGCAGTGGAGTCAGATGAAGAAAAAACAAATGTCTAGTTAGTGGTGAGAAGCCATAGCTAATATGATTTAGAATTACATCAGTATCACAGAGACTAAGTTCCTTCGTGGTGGCATTTCCTTTTTCTTAACCTTTCACAGTTACTAGCAAATTTTATCTTATTCTCAGTGCTGAAACCAGCCAAATGGCTTTTTACACCACAATCATGATTTAGACAGATGAATTACGGATAGACATTCTGAAAGTAAGTCCACATAGTTCAAAGCATGGAATTATAGCAACTTCAAGGATCCCTGCTCATTTATCCTTGCTTGTTGAATGGAAAGAAGGAATTCCCAGAAATAATAATGTAAATAGTATGGCATTGACGTCACTTATTTAAAAGGTTACAGGTCGTATTAAAGCAGCTAAATTTTCTCCTCTCCTTGTGAGGAACAGTAAGAACACAGTTGAGAGATCAGGTGCACTGAGCAACTGAGCTCATCTAAATAACCACTCGGTTACCTAAATCCTGTGAGACAGACTTTTCACCACTTGCACTTCTGCAAACTGCATGGCCTCAGCAAGGTCTCTGCTCTGCAACAAGGGTGAAAACCTCACCGAATCACCACACGCATGCCAGTCTCGGGGTTCAGTTCCCTCTGTGCCTTATCACCAAACATTACAGCTGCTTTCCCAGTGAAGGCCTTTGTCCACCAACAGCTGCTTACCAACAGGAGATGAGACTGCCTTTCTAGCTGCTGGTTTGAGAGCTGTGAGCTGGGGCCGAGTTTAGCCCAGCAGGGCCTCTTCCCTGAGCCCCACACAGGGATCATTAGTTACCATGAAAGGCTTTAAGATCCTTTTGGCTGGGATCTTTTCAGTCTTCAGAAGCTTAATAACAACCTAGTCCTTCTCCATACCTATTCCATTCTCCTATCCATTAATTTTGCCTATCTGGTTTGACACTTAACCCTATTGACTCTTGGGTGGATTTTACACAGCTCCTTCCCAGGATTTAAGCAAATGAGAAGATTCTGATTGGTTTCCTTGCACTGCTACCTCCTGTAAGTTTTCTGCTGATTTGCATCTGAAGTGTCATTATAAACACAGTTACATAGACATTGCAATCTAGTATACTACAACAGCCATAGGCAGTGGACCCAAGAGACTGGGTATTATTCTAATTTATCATATGCTTTAAGTTCATGGAAAATGGAATTTAAAAATTAGCTTATGGCGGAGTTCAGCCTAGCAGTTAACACACCTGCCTCCCTGACAAGAAGACCTGGGATCTATTCCTGACTCCAGCTTCCCACCAGTGCTGACTGTAGGGGCAGTAATTGGGTCTTGGATTGCATTCCCAGTTCCTGGCTTTGGCTCCAGCCCAGCCCAGGATGTTGTGGGCACCTGCAGAGTGCAATGGCAGAAAGGTCTTTCTGTTGCTCTCTTTCAGCCTCTCAAACAGATGAGATTTTCAAAAAGGCATTAATTTTGGTATATATGGATTTCAAAATATTTTGCACCAAAATAAAATTATACGAAAATTTCATTTTTTCACAAACATTTTGAAGATTTTCTTCCAGATTATATGTGTGTGTACATGTGTGTGTATGTATGTACATATACATGAGAAAACTTCCAAAAGTTCATGGAAAAATAAAATTTAAAAGAAAAGTTTCTTTTAGTGGAAAAAATTTGGAAATTCACATGTTTTTTAATAATACACATTTTCATGAACTTTCTGAAAGCTCCTCACATATACATATGATACGTTGACTAATAGATCCATATGTGTTTATACATATATAGTACAAATTGTCATATATTTAGATTTATTTTAAAAGTCAGAATTTCTTTCAGAAGATTACTGAAAGCATTGGAAAATACTTGGGACCTAATTGTTGTCATATTTGTCAAGATAAATGTTAAAGGGGCTGGCGCTGTGGCATAGCAGGTAAAACCGCCACCGCCTACAGTGCGTGCTGCTCCACTTTCCATCCAGCTCTCTGCTACCACCTGGGAGAGCATCAGAAGGTGGCCCATGTGCTTGGGCCCCTACACCTGCATGGGGAACCCAGAGGAAACTCCTGGTTCCTGGCTATGGATTGGCCCAGCTCTGGCCTTTGTGGCCATTTGGGGAGCAAACCAGCAGATAGAAGACCTCTTTCTCTCTCTCTCTCTCTCTTTCTCTCTCTGGTTCTGCCTCTATGTAACTCTGCCTTTCAAATGAATAAATAAATCCTTTAAAAAAAAAAAGCCAATCCATTCTTAAAAAAAAAAAGATAAATGTTAAATGGATATTTCCTAGAGTGCGTGGGCCAATATCCTTAAAGCATCTCTTTGGTGAACATTGTGGCACTGATAATTCCCTGGGGCATCAAGACCAATACCAACACAATACAAGTCAGACCGTACTGTACATTGCACCCCCAAGAAACATATTGTGCACAGTCTTTACTCAAAGACTAAACAAGTTTAAACTTGTCAATTCCTCTTAGAGATTTCAACCAAGCATTCAACATGATGCCCCGATGAGGTAGAAAATAAGAGATCTGGGTCACATTTGACTGCAGCTGAGGCACTGAAATGCTTCAAGCCTGGTTTCCAGGCCTATTGCTGTCTTCAAACTGATAAAGACACAGGTTACTGAGAAAATACACACAAGAATACCTCACTGCTCAATTTTTAAATATCGCTATTTTTATTTGAAATCACTGTTTGCAGACATGATTTCAAAATACTACAAATATAGTATTATATACAAATATACTATTACTATAAATAATATTATTTTATTATATTATAAATAATATTAAAAATACTACAAATATAGTATTATGTACAAATATAATATTTGGCTGGATTTGACATAATTCTTGACATTCTCCTGTTGAATACAGGGAAAGAAAAGCACCAATAATATTACATGCTAGTAAGACAACATGATTTGGACTCATGACAGACAGAAAATGATTCTTTTAAAACCAGCAGTTCATTTTGCTGACCCCATCTTAAGATGTAAATCACAACCTGTGTTCTAGAACATCCTAGTTGCAATGGATTTTTTTTAACTGAACTTTACTCAAGTTCTTGCTGGTTGTTTTGTGTTTGGAGTTGGATTAGTACTTTATACCTTTATACCTGTTCACCAGATTATGCTAGTCCTTCTGTAATCATAAAATGAATACAATTAAGTTATCCATGATTAATTTATAATTGAGATCCTTACCCCTAAATATAATAAGATTCCATAGAACATAAATCTCCAGAAAAAGCACCTCCGAAGGGCATTAATGAGCTTGGGTTTTTTCTTTGAAGCCAGCTCTCTATCCCATTCTCTGCAAAAGAACAAAAAGTGGGACCAATAAGTTGAATGTGCAAATATTTGAGTTGCCCTGTTTCCCTTAATACAGTTTGGTTCACACAAGTATATCCAATGAGATTAAACCAAGTGATTGCAGAGACAAAACCTTATGGAGACTCCAACAGCAATTGCTCAGCCAGAGAAAGTAGCAGAATTCAATGCTATGCTGTATGTCGCTCTGCAGGGATTTAGCTTCATGAAAGGACCACATTGTACACAGTAAAGAAAAGTGCTGAGATTCTTAAGAGCAATGAAAATGATGGACAAATAAAGCATAGCTCAAGCAAACACACACACTGCTGTGCTTACAACTAGATGAAAAACAATCAATGGATAGATAGGCCAGCACCACGGCTCACTAGGCTAATCCTCTGCCGGCACCCCAGGTTCTAGTCCCAGTGGGGACGCCGGTTCTGTCCCGGTTGTTCCTCTTCCAGTCCAGCTCTCTGCTGAGGCCCGGGAAGGCAGTAGTAGATGGCCCAAGTGCTTGGGTCCTCCACCCGCATGGGAGACCAGGAGGAAGCACTTGGCTCCTGGCTTCAGATCGGCACAGCATGCAGCGCCGGCCGTGGCAGCCATTTGGGGGGAGAACCAACGAAAAAGCAAGAGTTTTCTCTCTCTGTGTCTGTTTAACTCTGCCTGTCAAAAAATAAAATAAAAAAATAAATATTCTAGATCTACCCCCACCCCTACCACTCTATCCCATGATCTTTATCTGTTTAGAACTTTGGCAGATTTTATAAGATTTAACTGTCAAACCAAAAACCAGTGAAAATGCCTTGTGGATTTTTCTGTGATTTAACATGAAAAAAACCTGTCAGACTTGGTATTTTAAAGTGGAGATATGGAAAGTGGTGCAGCCACTGTGGCAGATAGTATGGAGAGACCGCAGAAATATGAGAATAGACCTACATATAACCCAGCCATCCCACTCCTAGGAATTTACCCAAGGGAAATGAAATCAGCATATGAGAGAGTGATCTCTACTCCCATGTTCACTGCAGCACAACTCACAATAGCTAAGATATGGAATCAACCCAGATGCCTGTCAACTGCTGGCTGGATAAAGAAATTGTGGTATATATACAGTATGGAGTACTACTCAGTTGAAAAAAAATGACATCCTCTCTTTTGCAACAAGATGGATGCAACTGGAAACCATTACACTTAGTGAAATAAGCCAGTCCCAAAAAGACAGATATCATATGTTTTCCTTGTTCATGGTAACTAATAGAGTACCTGAAATGTAATGTATTGGAGTGAAATAGACATTTTGAGATTTTATGATTGTTTACAGACCTTGCCTCTTCCATAGAGGAACAGTGTTTTGTTTTATTTTGTTTTTTCCTCTTTATATTCTTCATTGAACTCTTTTACTTAGTGTAGGATTAATTATATAATGAATAAGTAAACTGAAAACAAATCTTTATAAAAATAAGAGTATGAATGTCAGAGGCAGGAGGAGGAAGGGTTGGAGCATGGGCAGGAGGGAGGGTGGGGGGTAAGTGTCACTATGCTCCTAAATATATATATATGAAATACAGGAAACTTGTGTAACTTAAATAAAATTTTAAAAAAAGAAAAAAATAAATTAGCATTCATTAGAATTTAGATACTCAACACTTTATATTATTACTCTGAAGTTGTTGATAGTGCTGTAATGAATTTTGTTTATATATTTTATCTCTCTAGCAATTTTACATTTTTTATATAATATCAGTCATTTTATATTCAATAATTCAGTCATTCAACAAACATTTATTGAAGATAAGTTATATGCTAGGCTGACCCTACTCATTTTTTTAAAAAAGATTTATTTATTTTTTATTTATTTCAAAGGCAGAGAGAGCAGGAGAGGGGAGGAGGAGAGGGAGAAAGAGATGTCTTCCATCTACTGTTTCATTCCCCAAATGGCCACAAGGGCCAGGCCAAAGCCAGAAACTAGGAGCTTCTTCCAAATCTCCCAAGTAGGTACAGGGGCCCAATCATTTGGGCCATCTTCTGCTGCTTTCCAAGGTACATTAGCAGGGAGCTGGACTGGAAGTGGAGCAGCTGGGTCTCAAACCAGTGCCCATATGGGATGTTGGCATCACGGGAGGTTCAACCTTCTATGTCATAATGCCAGCTCTCTAGACCCTACTCTTGGCCAGTGGGAATACACCCATCAAAAAGATCAAAATTTTAAAAATATTCATGATTTGATGGCACTTAAACACACCAAGTGCTCAGTAATAATAGTTGGCCCTTGATTGTATAAAGATGATCAACTACTTCTACTAGCCTAATTCTTTGATTGAAAAAATAAGATTTAATATCTTACTTTGCCTTGGAAATGTCAAAGGGAATGTATTTAACGGAAATAACACAAATTTCATGTCAATTCAACCTTTTTATTTTGGTGCAGTAATTTAGTAACTTCTTTCTTCTGTTTTATAAATTATTTACTTATCTGAGAGGTAGACAGGGAGAAAGAGAGAAAGGGTTCCCGTCTCTTGTTTCAGTCCTCAAATGTCCACAAGGACCAGGGCCTGATCCTGGAGCTGGGAACTCAATCCAGGTCTCCCAAATGGGTGACAGAATCCCAATTACTGGAGTCATCACCCTGCCTCCCAGGGGTTGCATCACTAGGATGCCAGAATCAGGGGTGGAGCCAGGAATTGAACTCAAGCACTCTGAAGTGGCACATAGAAATCTTAACTGCTAAGCCAAACACTTACTCTCTCTTGTCTTTTTCCTCTCACAGCCTCTCCCCTTCACCTGGTATCAGATCCTGTGCTGCTGCCATAGACCCAGTTTAGCTCATGCATAAATCCAGAGGCTGAGCATGGAACACAAGGGACTCACAGGTCTCTAGAAAGGCAGGCAGTACAGATCTGGGTTGGAATCAGGGCTCCATCATTCATTACTTGACAACTTATATCATCTCTCTGAGCCTCAGTTTGCTCTTCTGTAGAATGGAAGCAATCACACTTCCCTCCCAGAAATACTTTACCTGGCATATAATAAGCATTACAAAATAGGAATTTTTTTACATTTTGTAAAATGCCAATAGTTATTACCTTAAGATTTTTCTAGAAGTACATTTGTTTTCATATATTAAAATTCTGGCTGGCTGTGTGGTGTAGCCAGTAGAGCTGCCGCCTGTAGTGCTGGCATTCCATACGGGTGCTGGTTTTTGTCCTGGCTACTCCTCTTCTGATCCAGCTCTCTGCTATGGCCTGGGAAAGCAGTGGAGGATGGCCCAAGTGCTTGGGCCCTGCACCCGCATGGGAGACCAGGAGGAAGCACCTGGCTCCTGGCTTCAGATCAGCCTAGCTCTGGCCGTTATGACCCTTTGGGGAGTGAACCAGTGGATGGAAGACCTCTCTCTCTGCCTCTCTGTAATTCTGCCTTTCAAATAAATAAATAATCTTTAAAATCAAATTGGAAGCAAACATATATATGAGCTGTCTTCAAAAAGTTTGTGCAAAATGTATATTAAGGAAAAACTGTGCATGGTTTTCAAAATTTTTTGCACCAAAACAAATTCATTCCTTAACTGCATTTTTCCATGAACTTTTTGAAGTACCCTCATAATTTGCTTCATAATATTACTTCAGTGTTCACAAAATCCATCTCATATCCTTTATTTTTTTTTTTTCCTGTTCAAGTCCCTTGCCCATTTCTTTTTTTTTTTTTTGGAAGGAGGCTTGCACTTTGTTTAATGGTTTCTTTTTTTTTATCTTTTATTTAATGAATATAAATTTCCAAAGTACGACTCATGTGTTACAATGGCTTCCTCCCCCATACCGTCCCTCCCACCCACAACCCTCCCCTTTCCCACTCCCTCTCCCCTTCCATTCACATCAAGATTCATTTTCGATTATCTTAATATACAGATCAGCTTAGTATACCTTAAGTAAGTATTTCAACAGTTTGCTCCCACACAGAAACATAAAGTGAAAAATAATAGATGATTTTTTTAAATGATGATGAAATCAGATCAGACCTATTGTCATGTTTAATCCCAGTGAGAGTCAAGTTGGGAATTGATAATTTCGTTTTTTTTTTTTTTTTTTTTTACAGAAGATCAGTTTAGTGTACATTAAGTAAAGATTTCAATCGTTTGCACCCCCATAGAAACACAAAGTGAAATATACTGTTTGAGTACTCGTTATAGCATTAAGCCTCAGTGTACAGCACGTTAAGGACCGAGATCCTACATGAGGAGTAAGTGCACAGTGACTCCTGTTGTTGACTTTACCAATTGACACTCCTGTTTATGGCATCAGTAATCTCCCTATGCACCAGTTATGAGTTTCCAAGGCTATGGAAGCCCCTTGAGTTCTCCGACTCTTATCTTGTTTAGACACGGTCATAGTCAAAGTGGAGGTTCTCTCCTCCCTTCAGAGAAAGGCACCTCCCTCTTTGAAGACCTGTTCTTTCCACTGGGATCTCACTCACAGAGATCTTTTTGCCAGAGTGTCTTGGCTTTCCATGCCTGAAATACTCTCATGGGCTTTTCAGCCAGATCCGAGTGCCTTTAGGGCTGATTCTGAGGCCAGAGTGCTATTTAGGACATCCGCCATTCTATGAGTCTGCTGAGTATCTCACTTCCCATGTTGGATCACTCTCCCCTTTATTTATTCTATCGGTTGGTGTTAGCAGATACTAGACTTGTTTATGTGCTCCCTTTGACTCTTAGTCCTTTCATTATGATCAATTGTGAACTGAAATTGATCACTTGGAGTAGTGACATGGCATTGGCACATGCCACCTTGATGGGATTGAATTGGAATCCCCTGGTATGTTTCCAACTCTACCAATTGGGGCAAGTCAGCCCGAGCATGCCCCAAATTATACATCTCTTCCCTCTCTTATTCCCACTCTTATGTTTAACAGGGATCACATTTCAGTTAATTTTCAACACTTAAGAATAACTGTGTGATAATTACAGAATTAAACCAGTCATATTAAGTAGAACAGACAAAAAAA